ACTCTACTTTGGTTGAATCAAATCTATCGAAGGAATCAATATGATTAATGTATCTGACAACAAATAATACTTTTTGAAAACTGGACGGAAATTTCCATTGATTATAGAAATGTCACTTTTACGCGCCAATTGTTTGACGAATTTAATTTGAACACTTTCAATTCTCTGTTAGTAAATCGAATATTGTGGACTCCAAACGACAGATGGAAAGTTCAAACGACTATATACATAAGAGTAATATAGTCTTCTCAATGTGGGATTAAAAAATCATTTTGGAATCCATTATCACTCCCAAATCACGAACTTCATATTGAAAATCAATGGGATTTCTATTTCTGGTGAAAGTTATTTTGTGACATTTATCGAGATTTAATTTAGGCTACTATTGCCACAGATTTCTGCAAATGATTCAAGATCATTTGGCAATGTCTCACACTGTTGGATTTCTTTGATGGTTCGATAAATCTTGAGGTCATTATAAATGTTCAAGGTGATAGAGAAAACGATAGTACCAGTGACGATAGTGATAACTCTACAAGCGATTCCGATCTGTCTGGAGTTGAACCTTTGTAATTTTTTGATCATAACTTTAATTATATTTTTGTTTGGATTCATTCATCATAATTGATAACTTTGAACCCAACCCAAATACCTAAATTACATTTCCAGAATAAGTATTTCTACCTATCCTCAATAACCCGAAAATTAAATGCAATACAGCCTGCTGAAAAAGAAACTCATTTGAGTTCAATTACGTAAATATCACATTATTATACTAAACTTATAACTGACCATCAATTAAAAAACCATCAACTCTAATTGCTACTTGCGGCGAGGACTGTACTCTCAGGCCACTCTAAAACCCAGAAGTGTACGCAGGTTACAAGTCGCTTCCTAGATTTGACAAGCTGTATGTCGTCTCAATATACGTATTCTATTGGATTTTCATTGAAAGACAAACTATTGAGCGGAATACCGCTACTTCCGTGATGGCACGTCTAATAAAGGGTTTAACCATCTCCATATATTTTCTTCTTGTCGTACCCTTTAACTACCCTCGAGTATTTGAATGGAGCTTTGCTAACCCCAGAATATTGTTATAATTGTGCAAATCTCCTCGCGTATAATCTTCCGTATCATTGTAAAATATTAATTGGTATAGACCGGGTGCCTCTCTGAATTGGTGGTATCCACCTGTTAGGATATATCCATTACGCAATTTCATTTGTTCCAAGAGACTATTTTGAAGTTAAAACATCATGTAAGGGAACGTATACGATATCGATTTGTTCTTCTTTATTACTGCTCTTTAAAATGTTTTTGTGCCATTGAAGGATATTGTTTTAGGTCCGCTTATACATCGTCAGGAATATATTGATTCGCTTCTGAAGCATCGAATACCTTCTATTCATCAGTATCTTCATCGCTGGATGTCCAAATCTGTCCAGTTGTAAAACTGAGTCCGATCTAGCTGGCGCTGTGAGTCTTTCACTGATTTTCATTTTACAGCAGTATCATCTTTGAAAGACTCAAGTTTTCATTTGAACGATGACTCATGTATAGGAGAAGTGGGTTTGTGTGAGTCGATGGTTCAAGCCCCAGGCGGAACGCTCGATTTTCACTTGCTATCGTCCAACCAGTGTTAGGAATCACACGTTGAAAGGTGAGATCTCGATAGTCCTTAGCTCGCACAAGTTTCGACTTCTGAGGGTGGTCGTTCGTAGGGGTGCGATAGCTGGTTAACGGAAAAAACATATTTTTTTATACCATAAAAAAAATAACGCTGACCGCCACTGCTAGCCATGAACCAATTGTCACGTGGCTAACAGCGCGCCCAATGTTCGCTGCCGTTCTAGATGTGGCAAGAATAATGCCACCGGCTTCCATGAAATTCCGATGAATTTTTTACGGCCTTCGATTTCTAAATATAATCACGATCCACTCGCCTATCGAGACAGTCAAGTGGAAGTGACAGTGCGGTACGCGGAGTGATCTAATAAGGCAATAGACATTTGAATAATAGTTTCAATTAAGGCGTTTTGTAATATTAATAGTGGAATTAAGTCAAGATTGATTATTATATAGTGTAGTCAATTATTGGTAAACCCACGGGGAAAACATAATATTTTTCTTTGTTCAAGTCCCTGAACAAATTCCTTAGTTGTTATCTGATATAAAACTTCTTTTTCAGTTATTGTTAATCCCTTTCTTAGAAATGTAGGTACCTAATATTGTGATGTCCACTACATTATAACTGCTTAGGAATGAATTCAATCTATAAAAAGTGTAATATTCCTCTTAAATGTTTATCTAGGGTAGGTATTATCCAAAATATCATTATTCATATATTATAATATCATTGAAAAGGGTATTTCCAATTTTTTAGAGTTTTTATAACAGACATTCCAAAACTGTCATCGGTGTTGAAACAGAACTAAATCTTTATAACTGAATTATAATAACAGATCAAAGAAAAAAAATTACTCTACGTATTATACTCATGAATGTTAACCTAACCGCGCTCAGCTGATGGGCCAATTATCATATCCCTCTCTATCTTACGGCAAATTGAATCTGCCGTTCTTTTTTCCGCACACAAACATCTCTGTGTACGCAACGTTGCCATTTATAAATTTAAGTCGCAGAATAAAATTAAAATTTAATTTAATTGCGTGAGTATGATTCAAATAGAAAATGATAAAATATAAAGAATCACAACCTGACAACAATGTTTTCGTTTTAATGCAATATTTCTGAGAATTTGTTGCCTACTACTATGGAATTTTAATATACACTTTTTTTAAATCATTGAAAATATTGTTAAAATATGCCTTGTCATTTATCAAGAAGCATAAAATTTTGAGTGCACGTGCATTTTGGTTTTCAAAATGAAAACAGTACGGATGACGCCATTTTTCAACTTTTAGGTAAACTGTCCAATACTTCAAATGATGGGAAGATAGCTGTGGCAGTATTTTGTGACTTCTCTAAAAGGAAAATGAGAAATAAAACTTTCTATGTTTCTAACACTTTTATTTGTAACTAACGTTACTGAAGTTTTGTCCTATAAGGACATTTTTAAACTAATACAATAAATGTCCTCAGTAACGTTAGTTGCAAATAAAAGTATTAAAAAACATAGAAAGTTTCATTTTTCATGATGATCTTCTACCACATAGTAACGGTTACATCCAGCAATTTATCTCTAAAAGGCATTTGTCTGTGTGAGTCAGGAAATGCTGCTGCAGAATTGTTCCGTTCTTATTTGAAACATATATACAGGGTGTCCTATATGAAACTCCGCGGGCTAATATCTGGAAAATGAAAGAGAATATACATATTTCGTGAAAACAGATGATTTTGATGTCAAAGGATCCTCTTGTCACTTAGAGATCCAGCACTAGTAGTCATCCGTTAGGGCGTCGCAACACCGACACCAATGTTTTTAAAAGGTAGCCCAGATTTTTCATTTTGTTTCTGGAATCTGCATCAAATTCTGAATTCAGCCATATAGAACACTTGTAGTTTCCCTTGAATACTGATGAAAAAAAGGCAATTTTATTGCATATTTTAAAAAGGTCCATGAATAAGTCAAAATTAATGCAATAATACGTGCAATAAAATGAATCCATCAGTTATAATTGCATTGCCTGTTCAGTTTCATCTAGTTGTGTGTTTCTGTAAAATCGCAGACAATACAAACTAAAATAAATATTTCAAATTACCAAAAATAATTTTACTTTAGTTGGGTTAGACCAAAGTAAAATGATAATAACGAAAACAATTAGTGATAACATGAATAATTTTAGTAAGTTTACGAACTGACTCCCTAGAATACACATATCTTTTTAGTAATTCTCGATTCGTGACAGCTGAAAGCTTCTCTCGCGATATGACAGCACAAACATTTGTGATACTATTTTTTAAATCATCTACATTTTGTGGTCGTCGCATAAAAAAAATCTAGTGGAGTAATATCTGGACTTCGAGCTGGCCATGGTATTGGACCCTAATTTGCAATCCATTTCTCATTTGAAGTGTCATCCAAATATTTGGTAACTATTCTATTATTATGCGTAAGTGCCCCATCTTGTTGATACCACATATTCAGTCGAGTTTGTATTTGTAAATTTCCCAAGAGATTCGGCAACACATGTTGGAGGAAAACCAAGTGCCTCTCCTCATTGATATTAAATAACCACCAATGATTCTGCACCAAACATTAACCTCCCACACAGACTGAAATTTCGTTTCTTGCATCCATTGGTGAGAACATAATTCTCACCAATAGTGAGAATTATGTTCGTTTATTATACCGTTGTTATGGAAACGGCTTTCAAAACTCCATAATATTTTGTTCAGAAACTGATCATCATAATGAATATGGGTGGACAGCCATGTATTGAAGTTCAATCTTCTATCAGAATTATACATCGTCAGGNAGAATTCAACTGTCAGAAAAATATCAACATTAAATACTTTCTAAGACACTGCTGTGACATTCTTTTGAAGGATTCAATAGATTTTTTGCATTTCTTATTCCTTCTTTCAAGTATTCCTTCTAGAATTGAATTATCTATGTTCACGTTTTGATAACTTTTCACCAATACGATCAAATATACAAAGATTTTGGGTCTAAGCGTTGCTTAAAACTGCAGAAGAGTTAACTGTGTAAAAATGTCAACTACTTTTGTACTCATCTACTACTATACCAGGTTATGAATGCAATGTTTGTACTATTTTATCCTTAACAAGAACAATCTGAGTAAGAAGAGGATATGACAACTTCTCTTATGAAGCCACATTAGGAAGTTTCCAATAAACACTTCTGAAATTATGTCAAAGTATAGAAAAATGTTTAGATGAAAAAAAATATTTTCATGAATATACAGGCAAACATTCCATTTTAGTCCCTTATCTTGGGAACTGTGAATACATTTTACATCAATGAAACTGGATTCCTTTGTAATGTTTTCGTTTTCATTAATAAAATGAACTGTTCACTGGAAACTGTCATTAATAATTATCATACCTGTTAGCAGGAACTGGGACTGCTGTGCAGGAGCTGTAGGAGCATTATTAGAAGTTGCTGGTGCAAGTACAGGAGAAGCGGTGGGAATCATTGTGGAAGTACCACAATTCGAAGTACTGGGTTCCCTAAGAGTTTGGTTTTGGGTCTGTCTTCTTGGATAGCGTTCTAATTGTTGTCTAGCAGCATTGACTTGTTGACGTTCCAGTTGCAATTGCATCTGCAATTGCTGTAACTGAGTTGGAGTGCTACTGTTTGTATTACTGGCAGATCTTCGAACACCTGAAGAAAAATAATAATAGTGCTAAAAAATTCATTTATGTGAAGTTATCCACAAATTCTCATCCACAATTTTTGACATAAGACATCCACTGGAGGGATACAGCGGTATTATAGTGCGGTGTTGCCAAGTTTCTAAAATATCTATTTCCATTAGAATTTGTACTTTTATTACTTGAATATAAAAAATTGTATGAAATATTTTCAACAAGCTACCTATCCACATTTGCTGACGTGGAGACTGTAGAAGTTGGAATAGAGGAGAACAGAAAGTTTTCAAAATGTAAAGAAACAGTGCAAAAGAATTTTGATTTTAATTGGTTCATTCAAAAACTACCACGAGGGCCGCAACAAAAATCGTTAGACAGTTTTCAGAATGTGAAAGTGGAATGGTGCAAGTAGATATTGATTAATGTCAAATGGTACAGGGTGAGCTGAGACAATAATTTTGTTGAAAATTGAATTTTTTCAAAATCACCACGAGTGCCACGAGTTTTCAGAATGTGAAGATGAAACAGTGCGAAAGGATTTCGATTGATGCCAACCGATACAGGGTGAACTGGATTTTTTTTCAAAAATTGTTTTTTTCAAAAACTACCAAGCTGCATCGGTTGGCATTTATCAAAATCTTTTTTGCTTTCTCATCTTCATATTCTGAGAACTAATTTATGGTTTTTGTTGTGACGCTCATGGTAGTTTTTGAACAAATCAATTTTCAAAAAATTAATTGTCTTAGCTCACCCCGTTCGGTTGGCATGAATCAATACCCACTTGCACTATTCCACTTCAACATTCTGAGAACTATCTAATGGTTTTTGTAATGGCATTCGTGGAGGTTTTCGAATAAATTGATTTTCAGCAAAAAATTCCTCCAGTTCACCCTGTATCCGTCAGCATTATTCGAAATTTTTTCGCACTATTTAATCTTCACACTCTGAAAACAATCTGATGGTTTTCGTTGTGGCACTCATGGAAATTTTCGAATAAATCAATTTTTCTACAAATTTAATATCTTAGCACACCCTGTATCGGTTGACATTATTCACAATCCACTTGCACCATTCCATTTTCTGCAAACTATCTAATGGTTTTTGTTATGGCAGTCGGGGTAGTTTTGAAATGAATCAATTTTCAAGAAATTTATTGTCTTAGCTCACCCTGTATCGGTTGGCATTAATCAAAATTCACTTGCACTATATCATTTTCGCATTTTGCAAAAAACAAACTGGTTTTCTTTGAGGCACTCATGGAGGCTTTTGAATAAATCAATTTTCAACAAAAAAATCACAATAGTATCGCTCCCCCCAGTGGTTGTCCCATGTCAAAAATTGTGGATGAGAGTTTGTGGATTACTTCAAACAAAAATAAATCCAGTTATTCATAAAATGTCCATGATTGAGCAAGCCTTTTGTGTACCTATTCACTACACAAATCGAAATGCTTACCTGATAACTGTGATAAAAGTTCAGCGATGGGGTCCACAGATTCTCGAGAAGATGGCGACAAAGATGACAGTCCTCCAGAACTGAAAACGCTAGAACAAAATTTTCTAGTAGAAATCTGAATAAACTTGCTCTAGTAAGAAATACTTTCACAGAACTTTTTCATTTAAAATGTATCAAATTCTCTTTTGGGTAATATCTTCCCACAATGAATTTTTGAAAATTTGTCTTTTTAATTCATATATGCACAACGAAAACGAAACTCAATATTTTAAAAACATTCTTGAAAACAGTCCACAAGGAATTTTATATGCAGCACAAATCAATTTTTTAAATCATAATTTACATTCTACTGAAGATTTTGAACATAAAATGACAATTGGTAACATTGACATCAAAATTATTTTTTTCCGTATCATGTGTTTTTATATATCACTGATGTATATGCACAGTATATCCTCAGTAAAATAAAATTTACTGATAAATAGTGTACAATGTTCCTTCAATAGAAAACAAGTACTTTTCCCAATCACCAGAAATGCAATACTCTTCTAGACGCGCGTTTCACCAACCAAGTTGTCGTCTTTAGGCGTTCGGTACTGGATTACACATTTATTGAAAAAATACTTCCATATAGCCAGGCTAGTCACTTCGCTTTGGCGTATCAGCAAATATGATATAGAAAACTGATAATTGGCATGTGTTCCAAGTTAGATTGCAAACTATTTACTTTCAAGTTACCAAAATGAATTTGGAAAACACTAATCAACTAGCACAATCTCTCGGCAATTTTTTTAGCTCAACTTGGGCTTTTAACACAATAGTTCAACTTTTATTTTGATGAAATAAACTCCTACCTGCACACAGACAACATTAGTAGTCAATCATGCTTTCAATCTCAACAAAGTGGGTTGATTTTCTACAAAAACTTCATGATGAAAATTTACCTCTAAGGACTACAATCTTATTTATGCCACTTAGAAATTTATTCAAATCACCCACAACATCAATTTCTTAGGGAATAAATATACCACAGGTTAACTTGCATTGTTCGTATTAATATATTTTGTTTAAAACTCAGTGTTATTCACTTTTTTGTACAAAATCTTGAGATAATATGCATCATTTCATGTTCTGGAAAAAATTGAATACTGGATTACTTTAGTTTTCATTGAGAATATTGCCTCTTCTCTTTGGAGTTTTTCAATAAATGTCCTGTGTCTAATTGGGAAAGAAAATTTTTAAAAATATGGTAATATTACTCTACTCCCAAAAGATTAGTAAATTAGAAAAAAAAAAAAGAAAAACTTGAAAAAATCACGACTTTCTTGATGCAATTCCAGACAAAAAAGAATCATCTACTGATTATGCTCTAGCTAGACAGTCTAGACTGTCCCTGTTCCAGAGTTTACCAAATTATGTTGGTATTCTCATACTAGTGAAAAATAATGAATTTTTTTGTCTTATACAATTTTCATAAAACACGAGTTTCTCCACTCTTACATTGACGATGAACGTTATATTTATTTATTTATTTATTTATATATATAGATATATATATAT